AGAATGTGCCCTTTGGAGATGTAAATTATTATATATGACTGAGTGGGTTTTTTTGTTTGTGTGTTTTTTAAAAAAGCTAAAGTTGATAGAGAGAAATACTTTTAACTGATGGTATATAGAGGGGATTATAATCAATATAATGAAACAAGTTAAATAAATTGTTGAATGTGAAACTGATGATGTGTCCTGTAAACTTTCACTCAATCCACAATAAAAGCCTTAAATTTAAAAACAAAAAACAAAAAAAACTATAGCATGTATAGAGTTAAAGTATGGCACTAATAGTATAAAATAGAATTATAGATTGTAAAGCTTTTGCACTGTTCATGAAGTGGTCAAATATTTGAAAGGAGACTGTAATAATTTGAAGATGCCTGTTGAGAACTCTAAAGTAACCATTAGTGCAAATGACTGGAATCATAAAAATGCCCAGTTAATCAAAAGAAGGCAGGAAAAGAAAATAAGTAGCAAGACAGTAGATTGAAACCTAAACCCATGTACATTTAATCAAATATAAATATTAAATACTGTAGTTAGAAAAATAAAACGTCAAATTTGATTTAAAAAACAAAACAAAAACAAGACTCACTATATGTTTTACTTAAGAGTCTCATTTAAATGATAAAAATGCAGAGAGGTTAATAATATTAAAGCTAAAGAAAAAGATATGAGGGCTTCAAAAAGTTTGTGGGACAGTCCTATTAGCATTTTTTTTTTTACATTTATTTAAGTTTTTATTGTGAATTGAGTGAAAGTTTGCAGGGCAGATTATCAGTTTTACATTCAACAAATCATATTCTGTTTCATTGCAATGATTACAAGCCCTTCCACCTACCATCAGTTAACACTATTTACCTCTATCCAACCCCCTTTTTTTTTGATGTACACAAATTGAAACAGAAAATTCTCATTTGTTTAAACACCCAAAGGGCACATTTTGAAGCCAGCCAGTCCCACTGCCTTTCTCAATCCATGCTTTTCTATCTCTCTAGGCCATCGCCTCTGCCACCATCTCTGCTGGCACCGCTTTTCTGGCTAGGATCCCATGCTCCACACCTGATCTTCCCTCTTGCTGGTCCTTGGGTCCTCAGTTCCTGAAATGGAACAGTAACTACTCCCCCCTTTTAGTTTCACATCTTCTACATTTGCGTTTGTGACAATCACAATTAGTCCTGATAACAGTTACACACAATTAAATAGTAAAATCCTATCCCCATCCTCCCCTATCCCCATTCACCAGACCCATGTGAAAAACTATTCAGCGGGAATTCTACCTTATCCCCCTCATTTTGAAATTAATCACATTCATGGAAGCTTGTAATCCAGCAAGAACTCCCATTTTCTCCCTGTTGCCAGCCTGTTGCAGCCACCAATAAGCCTTTGTCAGGATGCATTTGTACCTCTTCGGTAGATCATCTAAGTGGACAATTTTTAAACCATAGGTGGAGTCTTCCTCGGTAAGCCAATGTACATACCAAGATACTCACAAGGAATGTGACTTGCCAGCACTTGACCTTGTTCATCTGGAAAATGACATCCTGGGTTTGGTCACCAGGCAGGGTTATATGGCAACTGATTTCATAATTGCCGACAGAAACAATAGCCACACATCCCGGTTCTGGGTAGTCACAGGTACAGGGATCCAGCTGCAAACATCCATAGTGTTGTACCTCTCGTGACAGCTCCAAAAACTGCACCCAAAAATGGGGGTGGGGTGAGGGTTGGGGGAGACAAAAGACCACATGAAGCAGATGAAACTCTCATGTAAAAAACAACCATCATTCTATAAGAACGTGGGATTCAGGCTCAGGGAAATTCCCTTTTTCTTCTGGATGATTCAAATGAAGACAGAGTCCCACTACTCTTTTTGTTGTTTGTTTGTTTTTAAGTTTTTACTGTGAATTATGTAGGTTTACATGGGAGAACATCAGTTTTACATTCATCCTATC